TCCCTCAACTTTATAGAGTTGCACATTTTTTGTCCCTCAACAAAATTTTACACTTTATTTATCCCCTAATTCTAAAAATTGCACAATTTTAATCCTTCCGTCAGTTAAGTGACACTTGACAGTTAAATATTTCAAAATTGCACTTTTTAATGACGTGGCAATGACAACTCATATAATTAGCTTACGTGGAGTATGCCAAGTCAGCCTTAATTGTCCTTTTTAATCTTTTTCAATTCTTTAAATATAAAATTACTAAAATGCCCTTAATCTATTCTTCTTTCCATCGTTCTCCTCTGTGCTCTCTTTGTTCTCCTTCCCACCGCCACCGTTTTCAGTCATTTTTCCTTTGGTTGTCACTGTTTCTCTTCTCCCCTCCCCTCATCCCCTTCTTGGGCATGATTGGGTTCGTGAGAAACCCAGAGACGATATGGGTTCATCGCGAACCCAGTTATGGGTTCGTCATGAACTCAGAATGCCTCTTTCATCCTCTTTCATTCGGTACTCCACAATTAAAAGCAACATAAAATTTCAGAAGAAATGCCACTGTTTCCTCCATAAATCTACTTTACCTTATTTCTATCCTCTGCAAAAAGCATGTGTGAATCACCATGAATGAGAGAGTTAGCATACATCTTCCTGCAAAAACAAGGAATTAATAATGAACATTGTGGGTTTGCGACAAAGAATCAAACTGACAATGAATCACCATGAATCAAACTGGATTCTAACATAAATATATTCAACAAATTTTACCGAATCTATGGCAATAAAGAAATGGGTTTGTGACGAACCTAAAAGAGATCTGGGTTCGCGCCGAACCCAGAGCAGACCTGGGTTCGTGACAAACCCAGAGCAAACCTGGGTTCGCGTCGAACCCAGAACAGAGCAGACCTGGGTTCGCGACAAATCCAGAGCAGACTTGGGTTCGCGTCGAACCCAGAGCAGAGCAAACCTGGGTTCGCGACGAACCCAGATCTGCCCTGGGTTCGCGACGAACCCAGATCTGCCCTAGGTTCGTGTTGAACCCAAAGCAGAGCAAACTTGGGTTCGTGACGAACCCAAATCTGCTCTGGGTTCGTCGCGAACCCAAAGCAAATCTAGGTTCCTCATGAACCCAGTCATGGCCAAGCTGATGAGGGGGAAGGGGATGAGGGGGAAGGGGAGGAAAGATGGTTGGAAATGGTGGACGAACCCAGATCGTCTCTGGGTTCCTCATGAACCCAGTCATGGCCAAGCTGATGAGGGGGAAGGGGAGGAAAAATGACTGGAAATGGTGGCGGTGGCAAGATGAACA